CAGTATCCTAGGATAGGTAAAGATGAAGAAAGAAGTGGAGACAGAGACCATACATTGGTGGGAAAGTAATAAAGGATGGAACTCAGGATTGGCAATTATTAGCAAGAAAGTGAACATACAAGAGGGAATGAGGAACAGAAAGTGGAGACAGGAAGGTAAGGCACTGTCGATATTGTTAAATATCTTTTCCCACGTAAAGGGAAAAGATACTTAACAAGCAAGGTGCATGCATGCATGCTCAGTCATGTCCAACTCTTTGAGACTCCATGGATTATAGCCCACCAGGATCTTATGTTCATGGGATTTTCCAGGCAAGAATACTGGAGTGGGTTGCCATTTCCTCCTTCAGGGGATCTTCCTGACCCAGGGATTGAACTGTGTCTCTTACTTCTCCTGCATCGGCAAGTGGGTTCTTTACCACTAGCGCCACATGGAAAGTAAGTATGAGGGAATTATTTAGAGAAGGTGAACATTTTCTGAGTGCATGTAGAGTAAAAAAAATACTTTTTATTTTTATTTCATTTTAAAAGATTTTTATTTTTTAACTGGTAGGAAACTGTTTTACGATGTTATGTTGGTTTCTGCTATACAGCAACACAAATCAAGCTTGAGTCTCCCTCTCCTCCCTGCATCCCACCCACTTTAGGTCATCACAGAGTGGCAGGCTGAGTTCCCTCTGTTATATAAGAACTTCCCATCATCTATTTTGCACATTATATTATATATATATCAATGCTACTTTCTCAGTTCATCCCGCCTTCACCTTCCCCTAGTCCACTAGTCCATTCTCTATTAGGTTCATCAGTACATTTTTTCTAGATTCCATATGTATGTGTTAATATATGATACTTATTTTTCTCTTTCTGACTTACTTCACTTTGTATAACAGACTCTAGGTTCATCCACTTTAATACAGTTGACTCATATCTGTTNGATTCCTTACCGTCTGAACCACATAGGGCTGGTTCCAAACTCCACCGTGAAATAGTTTGTCTGTGGTGAGCCTCTTCCCTTTTGTGGGATACTCCAGTCACTTTGTCTTTTCTCTTCCCCTGATTCTGGGATCTCCCCAGCCCACTGCCAGCCTCTTATCCATCTCTCTCCATAGCTCTCCATCCCTTTTTATCCAGCTTTCCCTGCTCTACTTTCCTCTCTCCATGACCCAGAATCAGTCTGATGCTGCCTGTTGTCACTACAGTTGAAACTTCCCTGTTCTGTCGTTCATCAGTCAAGGCCAACTTTCTCTCTTAGGAGGCATTTCTGCCTGACTTACTTGTAGTTGATTAGTATTTAAATAAATGAGTGGACATATGAATAAGTGAAGTGCCCTCTCATAATAGGCCACTTAGCACCTGTCTTATCCCCACACACCCAAGGTATATGTGTATTCATAAGGGCCTGATAAGGACAGTATGCCTTCCTTTGTAGCATGACCAAACCAGGTGAGTTGACAGAGAAATCTCCTGACAGGTGAGTGGTAGAAGATTGAAGATAAACAATGAATGTTTCTGATGATTTGACATCTGGGAATTTGCTGCCCCTGGAGAGACTGCTCCTCCCAGAGCTAGCCAATCCTAGAGATAATAAACAATTCACTTGATAGAGTCTCTTTCATATGCAAACCAACATGTCCATTCTTTATACCCCAACCACTTCCTATACTGAGCTCTCACAAGACTCTCAATTGAATTCTGGGACAGAGTCCATTTGCTCTAATAACACCAGGGCCAGGTTCAAGGCAACTAAGGACAGTTTCTATAACCCAGAGTCTGCTGAAATTATTTACATCAGTCCATCCTCCTGCTTACCCTGCCTTGACTGTTCCTTCCCACAAAAGCCACAATGAAGGCCCTTGCCCATATTTCCCCCTTGGTCCTTCTGTCTCTTGACCAATCCTGGTGCTTCCCCACGTGGTTCTTTGTGACAGAGCTGTTCCCTCCTCTTGGGAACTGTGAGTAACAAGCTCTCTTTTCAGTGGCGATCATCTCCTGATCTGCTGGCTTCACCATACCTGGGTGATAATAAAGCTTACATTTTACAAGTTATAGTTATTTCAAGGGAGAACGGGGTAGAGATCAGTGGTAGAGCACATACATAGCAGGAATGAGGCCCTGGATTCAGCTCCCAGTACCTCCATGTTTGATAAAACCAAAACAACTTATAAAGTTTCAACAATTTCTCCAATCTCAGGTGTGAGAGCCCGCCCCCTATGCTAATTCTTTTAAGACCCTGCAGGAAACCTCTCCTTTGCTATATGTTCAGACGATTAGAGAAATGATTGTTATCCAGAAAAGGCAGGGTAGAATTAAATTTAAAAAATGAAAGCAATGACTGAGACTTTCTGGTAGTCCAGGGGTTAAGACTTCACCCTCTAATACAGGGGGTACAGGTTAATCCCTGGTTGGGAGGATCCTACATGCCTTGGGGCCAAAACACCAGAACATAAAACAGAAGCAATGTTGTAACAAATTCAATAAAGACTTTACACAAATGGCCCACATCAGAAAAAGTCTTCAAAAAAAGTAATGACAAACCTTATTTAATGTATGTTGTCACTTTGAGATATTGGGGGAAAAAAAAAAAGATCCTATGAATTATTATTGTATTATCCATGATGAATGGAAGTTCTAAGATAGAAAGTGGTTTTTCCAAGGTCACAGAGTCACAGACACAGAGAGGTGAGTCTCAAATACAAACTTTACTGGCATTCCTCTGACTCATGCTGCTCCCACTCCTTCCGTCTGTCATAGTCTTCTAAACCATCCAATAGCTTTTACAAAGTATTGTATAACATCACCACTTCCTTCATAATTTAAGGAAAAAAAATAAGGCAGTCTTGCCAACTAGGACTAATGAATGGTTCCACAGTGAAAAATAGCTGTGACATATTAGTATTTAGATATTTCAACAATCATACAGCCTTGGGGAAAGGAATATAGAGTCTTAGGAAGATAATTACACAAGAGAGGATCTAGAGATGACAGAAGTTTCTAGTACTAAGTCTGATCTTTAGTGAATGAACGAGGACCTTTCGAAGTTTCTTCTTTCTAGAGAAGTTCCATTCTTTGCTCATAAGTCCATGGTGGCTCAGACGGTAAAGAATCTACCTGCAAAGCAGGAGACCCAGGTTCAGTCCCTGGGTTGGGAAGATCCCCTGGAGAAGGGAATGGCTGCCCATCCCAGTATTCTTGCCTAGAGAGTTCCAAGGACAGAGGAGTCTGGCAGGCTACAGTCTATGTGGTCTCAAAGAGTCAGACGTAACTGAGCAACTAACACTTTAACATACAAAGAACAAGATTGGCCATGAAGGAGACAGACAAGAATATCTTTCAGTTTTGGAGAAACATAAACCTAAAAGGAATAATTGAATACCATAAGATAATAAGAAATGCACAAAGTACAAAGTATAATGAAATTGCTATTGAAGGTCATCAAGAGAAAAATACCCTGTAAAGAAGTTAAGATCTGTGTAGTCAATGCTGACCATAGTTATTGGCGGGAAGACTTCAGGTAAAATAATTGAAAAATGAACTCAATATTGAACAGAATATAGCTCATGGGAATTTATGTGTTCAGTTCAGTTCAGTTCATTTCAGTCGCTCAGTCGTGTCCAACTCTTTGCGACCCCATGAATTGCAGCACACCAGGCCTCCCTGTCCATCACCAACTCCTGGGGTCCACCCAAACCATGTCCATTGAGTCGGTGATGCCATCCAGCCATCTCATCCTCTGTCGTCTCCTTCTCCTCCTGCCCCCAACCCCTCCCAGCATCAGGGTCTTATCCAATGCGTCAACTCTTCACATGAGGTGGCAAAAGTACTGGAGTTTCAGCTTCAGCATCAGTNGGGTGACAATATACAGCCTTGATGTACTCCTTTTCCTATTTGGAACCAGTCTGTTGGTCCAGTGTTAGCATTTACCAAATACCTACAAGGGTTTGGAATCCCATTCTTTTAAGCAAAAGAGAGGGAATGTTGACAAAAGAGGAAAAGAGAAAATGATAAAGTCAATCAAATGACTTGGAAATTTTTTAAAAAGGTGAAAATTTTGGATTATGAGGAGTATGGAAGAAAGAAGACAGGTTAAGAAGGTTTAAGAGCAATCAGCAAGGAGTTAGAGGTACTATTTAGAGATGGTGATTGGCAGCCATTAGGAATTTCCATGCAGTATAAGTTAGAAGAAAGAGCTTGTGTGGTTAGTAGACCTCAGCAGGATATCAGGAAGAATTTCCTGATGGTAAATGTCAAGAGTTCTGGTTCGGAGGATCAAAGAGCAGCTTCTGGGATGTGCCTATCCCAGGCATATTTTTCAGCCTCAAGCAGGAGACTGTTTGGGTGGTTTTCAGCAGCCCTGTGGATGGATGGGTCTGCCTCCTTGGAATCCGCTGGTCTCATGTTGCCGAGGGGCGTGCCCTCCACAGCTGCTTTCATGGACTCCCAGCCAGCAGCCAACTCCCAGCTCACAGGCCATGGAGTTTTCCCCCAAGAAAGGAACAACTAAGTCTTTCAGAGTCTATTCCCCACTTGGACCAGCCCTTAGGTATACACTGTGGTTTTTCAGCTCTTCAGCACTTAGGCACTTTCCTTCAGAGCCAAAAGCCCTCCTGGGAACAATGCAGCATTTGTGTGTTGACAGTAACAGCCTGTGGGCCAGAGACACTCAGCCAAACTCTCCCTCTGTCCCACACGGTCTGGATCACACACCTCATCTGCAGTAATCCACACTCAGTTAGCCCCAGCTTGCCCCTAAGACCAAGCGCCCCACTTCTCTTCCCCCCTGTTCCCCAACTTCTTACCTAGTTCAATCCCCAGCTCCACTACCATGTTTATCCCAATGGTCATGCAGGATGATCTCCACCAGCTCCCATCCCACCCACAGGGAACAATGACACAGAGGTGGCTCATGGCCTGACCCTAAACAGTAGGCACTGAAGAGGGAGGTCCACTCTGCTGAGCTGGGCACTGGGGTATTTACAAGACGTTAGGTCTGAAAAGAGATGCCAGTCTTTTCCTATAAGATAGGGCTTTTTATTTATCATGCAGTTGTTGATTCATATGGGGAGTTAGGAATGCAAAACAAGCATAGAGTTGTACACGGTCTGTTTCTGCTGAGTTCAGAGACTCGGAAATATTGTTTGACTTCTAGCATGAAGACAATTCCAGAAAGGTGTTTAAAACCATGTTTGTGTCCTTGGCTCTGAGTCAGAGAGGGACAAGGGTTATGAAGAGTAGGGTTTCAACTCTTAGGCAACCCTACAAGATGTTGGATGTTTCAATATTAAATGACCCTCAGAACAATTTCCCTCTAGGAATGCTCCCTGTCCCCTCATCTCCCCCTACCCCCCACTTCACAGCAAGAGTGCAGTGTTTCTCTTAAAACCTCCATCCAGTGTATGGGTCCACTCAGTGTGAATGCAGAAGAGAAAAATCAGATGGGTAGTAGAGAGTATAGAAAATTTAAAAGAAAGGGCAAGTAGAGTAATTGAGATTTTAAGGAACAAACTGGAGTTGTGTGTGTGTGTGTGTGTGTGTGTGTGTGTGAGAAGCTTGGCGAGTCTGTTATTTAGTGTCTCTGAGATTTGAGTCTTTTTACTGACCCCTTTTCATTCAGCATAAAGTAGTTACTTGATTGTACGCAGAAGAAACAGGGAAGAAATCAGAGTTCCACCTTTGACGTCTTCTCTTCTGATTCATGATTTTCTCTCTGAAAAACATCATGGCATGGATATTCAGATCTGGAGCCCAATCTTGTTTTTGAACTCCGAGATTAACAAATTGAGCTATTTAATCCCTCCTGAAAGCCCTAAATCCATCTTCCACTGTTATGAACCCCTCATATGAATTTGACTTATTTCCCATCGATATTGTACACAGAATGCTAAAATCCAAAATCCAGCTTCTTTGAATATGCAAGACCTTCCCCAAAGTGCTTTTGGAGTTCTGTTTTGGTTTGGTTCCCATGACTACGGACTTCCCTGATAGCTCAGTTGCTAAAGAATCCATCTGCAATGCAGGAGACCCTGGTTCAATTCCTGGGTGGGGAAGATCCCCTGGAGAAGGGATAGGCTACCCACTCCAGTATTCTTGGGCTTCCCTTGTGGCTCAGCTGGTAAAAAATCCACGTGCAATGCGGGAGACCTGGATTCAATCCCTGGGTTGGGAAGATCCCCTAGAGAGGGGATAGGCTACCCATTCCAATATTGTGGCCTGGAGAATCCCATGGACTGTAGTCCATAGGGTCACAAAGAGTCTGACATCACTGAGCCACTTTGACCTATGCAGGACTTGATTAAGAGTAAAGGAGTAGGAGGATATGGTGGTCAGGGTCGAGACGCTTTTTAGGAGGTAATCATGACCACCATATCCTCCTACTCCTTTACTCTTAATCAAGTCCAGCAGAGGTCAAAGAATTTTTATTTAACAGAAAATTAAAGGGACTGAGAGGGAAAATGGATCCGATTCGATGGACATGAGTTTGAGCAAGCTCCAGGAGTTGGTGATGGACAGGGAAGCCTGGCATTCTGCAGTCTGTGGGGGTGCAAAGAGTCAGACATGACTGAGCAACGGAACTGAACTGAACTGAGAGGGAAAAAAACCTCAACTTGCTTTACCTGCAGTTTCATACTTACCTGTCCTTTCCCTTTCAGGAATCCATCACAAAAATTTTGCACTTGCTCTAGTAAGACCTCTGTTATAGGCAGTGTATCCCACTTATCATCTAGAGTCTGGTAAATTGCTAAAGCAGGCAGTTCAGACATCTTTAGTTTGAAAAATGATATCGCCTTTTCATTTTGCTTCACTCCACTGTCCACCAGAATAAAAAGAATCTGCAGTTTGGGAAATTTGAAAGAGAAAGATCTGTCTGAGGTCCTCCTTGGAAGAAAGAGACACTTGGTGATTGTTGCTGTTTACACTGATTGAACTTAGGGTCTGTGCCACAATTTAAATATTCATTGAATTAAAATGAATTTCTTCTTTTACTTTGCATTGTTTTAGGTTTTTTTCCTTTAGATCAGGTCTATTTAATTTTAAGAACATAGAACTGGAAGACAGTTTAATGATTAGCTAAGGGAGAAAGTATGGTCTAATGGCTAAACATGGAGAATTCTTTTTAAATGTTGCCTCTAGTACTTTCTAGCTGTCTGACTTTGGGTACATTAATCAGCCTCTCTGAGATTCAGTGTTCTTATTGGATTTTGTTGGGGGGAGACTGAATAAGAGAATAGATAATATTTCTAGTACAGTTTTCACCGTATATAGTAAATGCTTGATAGGGCTTCCCTGGTGGCTCAGATGGTAAATAATTGTTAACTATTTTATATTATTAAATCAAACCTTCTGTTCGATGAGGAAATCTCCTTGATAACAGTCTAGTTAGAGAGTTATCTACATTTAGTAACACTGAAAACTTCCAATGTTAGGGAAACAACCACCAGAAAGATTTTTTTTTTAAAACCAAACAACCCTCATCATTGGTGTCTCTAGTTCAATGCAGTAGACTTGAAGTAGTTGATGTTTTACTATTTCAGTGACATAAGCAGAACTGCACAAAGTGGGGAAGGGAAAGAAAGAAATATTTATTGCTTATCCAGTAGACACTAGGTACAAGATATGTGTTTTATGTGAGAAATAAGCCCTGGGTCTAAAACTTCAGAGTTTATAGTAAGGAGTAAATAAATCACGGGGCTTCCCTGGTGGCTCAGTGGTAAAGAATCTGCCAGCAATTCAGGAGACACGGGTTTGTTCCCTGGGTCAGGAAGATCCCCTGGAGGAGGGCATGGTAACCCACTCCAGTATTCTTGGCTGGAAAATCCCATGGACGAGGTGCCTGACACGACTGAAGCTACTTGGCACAGCACAGATACATGAAGCTATCAAGATTAACAGGTGACTTTTATGTTCAGTCTCTTTGGATCTCTAATTATTTTTTTGTCCAACCATCAATGAATAAAAAAGAAATAGACTTACTGCTAATGGAAGATATGATTAAATACATCTTTAACAGTTTAAAATACATCTTAAGTTTTAAGGCAGAGTAATGGGATTTAATGGGATTTATTATACTCCAGTTCTCACTTCGTTACCTCTTAACCATAATTATTTTCCTCATTTCTCTCACTTCCCTAGCCGCATCTCTCTTTTTCTGGTGTCCTACAGCTGAGTAGTCAAAAGGGAATCTCCCAGTCCAGACTTACCCTCCCCTGGAAGAGCTTAGCTGCCTCCTGAAATCTGTGCAAGTTTTCTTCAAACTCTGAGGAGGCCTTGTTCATAATCAGTAGAAGATGAATCGGAATCACACTATTGAATAGGCCAATTGCAGTCTGGCAAATTGAAATGTATTAAAGCAGAATGAAAGAGAAAAGGAGGGGAAAAAATATTAGTGACAATTCAATGACTACGTACATTGGACCATAAATGATACCTGTCCACCCATCACACCAATGGCAACTCCTACAAGATGGCTTTGGATCAATTTCACTCTCCTAATTTTCATGCAACTTAGTAGATCCCTCATCCCCACACTGAACAGGGTGGAGCTGAGTAGCCAAAGGGATACTGCAGTAGTGATGGAGTGTGACCTCCAAGGGTTGGGTCATAGAAGACATAGTAGCATATTCTTTGTTCTCTCCTGTATCACTTACTCTCTTATATTGCCCACTCAAGCAGCCCTGGGAAGAGATTCACATAGTTCCTATGAAGGAACTAAGTTCTCCTGCTAACAACCAGCACTGACTTGCCAATCAGGTGACTGAATCATCTTGCAAGAAATCCTCCAGCCCCCATCAAACCTTCAGATGATTGCCTCCCTGACCAATGGCTGCAACCTCACATGAGCCCCCGGGATCAGAGGCCCCCATCCCTAGTCACTCCCGAACTTGACCCACAGAAACTGTATGAGATAATCAATTTTTTTCTGTTCTAAGTTGTTACATTTTGGAGTAAACTGTTATGCATCATTAGACAACAAATACACCATGGATTATTTTAGTCGCTTTTTTTCAACCCCTTTTGAAATGTGGTGGTCCAGTGGTTAGGACTCCAAGCTTTCACTGCCAGAAGTGTGGGTTAATTCCCTGATTAGGGAACAAAGATCCTGCTGGCCACACAGCACAGCAAAAAACAAAGCAAAACAAACAAAAAAACCAAGAGAAGCCAGATACATTTAAAATGGGATTTTGAACCCTTGATAGTACTGTACACTTTTGAGTGCTTTTGATGTGCTGGGGAGTGTTTCCAGGTCTTTACGTATAATAACTAATTTAATCCTCAAAGTCCCAGTTTTATAAATAAAGACATTGAGGTGCAAGATCAAGGAGTAAATAAATCACGGGGCTTCCCTGGTGGCTCAGTGGTAAAGAATCTGCCAGCAATTCAGGAGACACGGGTTTGTTCCCTGGGTCAGGAAGATCCCCTGGAGGAGGGCATGGTAACCCACTCCAGTATTCTTGGCTGGAAAATTGCATGGACGAGGTGCCTGACACGACTGAAGCTACTTGGCACAGCACAGATACATGAAGCTATCAAGATTAACAGGTGACTTTTATGTTCAGTCTCTTTGGATCTCTAATTATTTTTTTGTCCAACCATCAATGAATAAAAAAGAAATAGACTTACTGCTAATGGAAGATATGATTAAATACATCTTTAACAGTTTAAAATACATCTTAAGTTTTAAGGCAGAGTAATGGGATTTAATGGGATTTATTATACTCCAGTTCTCACTTCGTTACCTCTTAACCATAATTATTTTCCTCATTTCTCTCACTTCCCTAGCCGCATCTCTCTTTTTCTGGTGTCCTACAGCTGAGTAGTCAAAAGGGAATCTCCCAGTCCAGACTTACCCTCCCCTGGAAGAGCTTAGCTGCCTCCTGAAATCTGTGCAAGTTTTCTTCAAACTCTGAGGAGGCCTTGTTCATAATCAGTAGAAGATGAATCGGAATCACACTATTGAATAGGCCAATTGCAGTCTGGCAAATTGAAATGTATTAAAGCAGAATGAAAGAGAAAAGGAGGGGAAAAAATATTAGTGACAATTCAATGACTACGTACATTGGACCATAAATGATACCTGTCCACCCATCACACCAATGGCAACTCCTACAAGATGGCTTTGGATCAATTTCACTCTCCTAATTTTCATGCAACTTAGTAGATCCCTCATCCCCACACTGAACAGGGTGGAGCTGAGTAGCCAAAGGGATACTGCAGTAGTGATGGAGTGTGACCTCCAAGGGTTGGGTCATAGAAGACATAGTAGCATATTCTTTGTTCTCTCCTGTATCACTTACTCTCTTATATTGCCCACTCAAGCAGCCCTGGGAAGAGATTCACATAGTTCCTATGAAGGAACTAAGTTCTCCTGCTAACAACCAGCACTGACTTGCCAATCAGGTGACTGAATCATCTTGCAAGAAATCCTCCAGCCCCCATCAAACCTTCAGATGATTGCCTCCCTGACCAATGGCTGCAACCTCACATGAGCCCCCGGGATCAGAGGCCCCCATCCCTAGTCACTCCCGAACTTGACCCACAGAAACTGTATGAGATAATCAATTTTTTTCTGTTCTAAGTTGTTACATTTTGGAGTAAACTGTTATGCATCATTAGACAACAAATACACCATGGATTATTTTAGTCGCTTTTTTTCAACCCCTTTTGAAATGTGGTGGTCCAGTGGTTAGGACTCCAAGCTTTCACTGCCAGAAGTGTGGGTTAATTCCCTGATTAGGGAACAAAGATCCTGCTGGCCACACAGCACAGCAAAAAACAAAGCAAAACAAACAAAAAAACCAAGAGAAGCCAGATACATTTAAAATGGGATTTTGAACCCTTGATAGTACTGTACACTTTTGAGTGCTTTTGATGTGCTGGGGAGTGTTTCCAGGTCTTTACGTATAATAACTAATTTAATCCTCAAAGTCCCAGTTTTATAAATAAAGACATTGAGGTGCAAGATCACCTCAAGTCACATAAGTGATGAGCTGGAATTCTCAGCAGGCAGTGTGACTTGAGAGAGTGTACCCTTAACCATGAGACTCCTATTCAGCTGATGGCAAAACCTCAACTAAATCAACTCAGCCCTAAGCACGGTTGAGTTAGTCCATCTCAGGTCAGCCGTAAGATAACTGCTTCAGCAGGCGGGAAGTTTGGCCCTTTTTTGTGGATTAGAGGTGGTGATTTCCCCTGAGGCTGTGGGTGGTAGAGCGGAGGAGACAGCTGTGAGGCAGAGGGACGAGAGAAGGAAGACTAAAACTATGACCCTAGCCCCCTTCATTTCCCTGTTCAGAAACAGCGCTGCAACTGTCTCTATTTTAAACAAAATCCCATTTCTTCTTACCTGTCCCTTCTAAAGACAGAGAATATTGCTGTTGAACTAGCATGTGCACACACAGAGAGAGAGAGAGAGAGAGAGAGTGAGCTGTAGGTTAATGAACATTTGGGCAAAGTCCCAGGATGATGGGAACGGGAGTCACTGAACAGGATTCTTCCAGAAGCTACATACTACCCTGAAGAGAATTTTCAGCTCTACTGGCCAACATGTAGGCAAGGAGGATCCATTAAGTTCTTTCCAAAAACTTTCTCCCTGGAGTTTAAAACCAGGTCTTCAATTTTAAATTTGGAAGATTGGAAATTTAAATAATTGTCTCTTGTTTTGTTTTTTAAATTTAAGCAGGCAATCTACCCTCCTAGAACAGAGATAGAGGATAAATCTTGGGAAGACTCAAGAAACCAAAGCTAAAGAGTCAAACGATATAGTGAAAGGATAGAGGAAGAGATTGAACACTGCAGGAATGATGAGTTTAATCCTAATAGGCACAGTCCGATTTTCATCTTGAAGCTAAGTGTTGAGTGTATGCATTAACGGTGCATAGGAGGTCAACCACGGGACTGGGAATTTCTGCCCAGTTGCTACAGGTACAAACCTCTGCACCAGACACAGATGAGAAATAGCCAGAGTGGTGTGGGCAGGCCTCAAAAAAGAGAAAAACAATTCTTTTGGGAAATGAAAAAGTCATGGTAAAACTTGCTTCTTTAGAGAAATTCTTTCCTCATTTCTTCTTGATATGAGTCGGTGTCGCCTCTAATGTAGAACTTAACAAAATGTGTCATTGTTCCATAAGTAAGAGATGGCCCAATCATCAGAACTTAGGAAGGCTAGTCTTTGCCTCTGCCCTCATTCACCTATGGAAATCCAGGACCCTGGGTCATAAACCAGAGACTGGAAGAACATCTTTTCCGGTCCCCAATGCACTCCTGGCAGCCTTATAGACATTGACCAGAATGATGATGGTCTAGGCACTTTTCAGTGCCTTTTAAATTATTGCTGCCAATGCCCCTGGGATGCATATGTTTGCAATCCTAACAGAAGTGGAAATAGGATCACCATTTCATGGAGACAAACATGGTATGAGAGGCTGACAGGAATTTAGTCAACAGGAAGAGGGGTGTTTTCTGTTGTAGGCTATGTAGGAGAATGGAAAAACCACAGGACTCAGTCAGAGAGATCAGTCATGAAAAAAGCTGGGACAAGTGGACAGGGCTGTCACTGAACTTCAAATGACAAGTTGTAGGGCTTGAGGAAGTTACTTCGCTTTTCTGAACTCCCATCTCCTCTCCTGTAAAATGGAAATAGACAATATGACTTCATGCATCATCAAATTTTCTGCCTTCAGTGACGTCTTTTCTACTTACTGTGTAATATTGAATGTTGTTTTGAACTTAAGAGTCCGCCTCTATAAAATGGACATAATAATCTCCTCTCCTCTACCTCAAAAAAATCTGTAAGTATTATGTGAAAAAGTGGCATAAAAGGGTTTTGTTAGTTCCAAAAAGCATGACATGCATATAAAGTACTGTTATGAGAGAATGTGCAGCATTTTGGAGCCGAGGTAGATCACTGGAAATCAACACTCATCATCTTAACATCAACTTAACTTAATGATGTTAAGTTCGGGAAGGTAAAAGGTAGGACATATAAGGTAATTCTATAAGCTGTGTTAGAAGGCCAGAAGATTATCAGGACAGGTGGACCAACACCTTCACCCAGGTTGTAGACAGCATGAAACAACCAAGAAAGACACCCAGAAAGAAACCTGAGACTCTAGGAGGGTCTAGGCAAGTGCTAATTGTACCCGACTGAGAACTGCTGGTCATGAGTCTGCAAGGAGGTAGACACAGAAAATGGGAATAGGTGTGTAAAAACTTTTTAGAAATTTTACACTGCTGCGACATCCAAATATGTGATCAGTGTTTTTAACCAGCTCATTTGTATTTTACAAAAATATTGGTCTCCAACGCTTTAGGAAAAAAATTGACCTTCAGCATTTTTGCAGTTGTGGCAAGCTTGCCATCTTGTTGGAGAAGCATGGTCTAGAATGCTGGTCACATCAGAGTTGCTTCACTGAACTCTCTTGCAACCAAACTCAGAAATTTTTGATTGGTCACCCTAACTTTGCATTCTGACTCTCTTACTAGTCATGTAACTTGTCATCTCACTTTTCTGTTTTTTTCTTTGTTGGGTAGGAACAAGTTTATCAATCTTAAGGGTTGTAGTAGGGATAGGAATATAAACAATTACAAGTTGATTTAATGGTGGTTACTGTTATTATGGGCTGTCTTGGTAGCTCCGTTGGTAAAGAATCTGTCTGCAATGCAGGAGACCCTCGTTCGATTCCTAGGTCGGGAAGATCCCCTGGAGAAGGGATAGGCTACCCATTCCAGTATTCTTGGGCTTCCCTTGTGGCTCAGTTGGTAAAGAATCCGCCTGCAATGCAGGAGACCCTGGTTCAATTCCTAGGTCAGGAAGATTCACTGGAGAAGGAATAGGCTCCCCACTCCAGTATTCTTGGGCTTCCCTTGTGGCTCAGCTAGTAAAGAATTCGCCTGCAATGCAGCAGGAGGCCTGGGTTTGATCCCTGGGTTGGGAAGATCCCCTGGAAAAGGAAATGGCAACCCAGGCCAGTACTCTTGCTTGAGAAATCCCATAGACAGAGGCGCCTGGTGGGCTACAAAAGGCTTCACGGGGTCCCAAAAGAGTCTGACATGACTTAGTGACTAAGCAACAATAACAACTGCTATTATTGATTAAAAGATCAGAATGCTTGGAGGAAAGGATTTCTCCTTTGAAGGCAATTACCCTCCCTGACACAGGGACTGAAGGGTCTAGAGACAGGGGCTACTTACTATAGCATTGTACTCCGTCACCAAGTGGAGGTTGTTGCTCTCAATGAAACGGCTTAACTTGGTGGCATCCATGCTTTCCATGTCTTCACCCTTTAAATCCAGTTGTTTGTTATCCACCTGGGTCACATAAAAAGGACAAAATTGTCACCGTTTTGTCATCAATAAATGTTTCTGAACTATTAAACCCAAGTCAGCCACTAACTCAAGCTCCAAAGACAGAAAGGTCAGTGTTCCTGGTTCTCGAGGAATGCACTGTCCTGTGGGTCACAGAGAAGTAAACAGGAATATCCCACAGAATGTGACAAGTATCATCACAGACCCGTATGTCCCCTCAGGAAGAGGAGAAACGCTTCCAGGAAGAGACAGCTCCCAATGAATGGCTAAGACTTGGTCAGATGAATGAGGATGGGGTAGGAGTTTTAAATAAAGAACAGTGTTTGTAAAAGGCAAAAAGATGACAGATGTTCTGTTCTAGAAGCTGCAGTTAGGTTAGCTAGACTATAGCAGTGGATGTTAAGTGTCGTAGGAGAGAGACATGGGCAGTGGGGTGGAAAGTGACTGCAGCTGGCCAGACTCCTCTATCCTTGTGATTTCCCAGGCAAGGATACTGGAGTGGGTTGCCATTTCATTCTCCAGGGGATCTTCCTGACCCAGGGATCAAACCCAGGTCTTTTGCATTGCAGGCAGATTCTTGAGGATCTGAGCCATCAGGGCAATGGGGTAGGCAGGGCAAATTCCCAAAGAACCTTGAGGTCAAGATAAGCAATTAAATTCTAACCTGAGGGTAAGGGGAGCCACTTACAGGATGAGATTTATGTTTTATTTATGTACATTTCTAATGTGAAATGAAACACACATGCAGAGAAAAGCACAACATGGAAAATATAAAGCTCAGAAAATTGTCACAGAGTAAACAACTGTGGAACCATCAGTAAGGGAAGGACATAGAATATTGCCAGAATGTCTGAAGCTCTCTGTGATCCTTCTACTGCTGGTGTTTAGTAGCTAAGTTGTGTATGACTCTTTGCAACCCCACGGACTGCAGCACACCAGGCTTTCCTGTCCTCCATGATCTCCCAGAGTTTGCTCAAGTTCATGTCATTTTATAATCCGTTATTTTTCAGCCAATGTTCACCATTATCCTGACTTTTACAATGACTATTTTCATTCTTTATAGCTTTACTACTTAAAAATGCATCTCACTGTTACAGTTAATTTCATCTTTTAAAAAATGTTATGTAGGGACTTCCTTGGTGGTCCAGTGGTTAAGAGTCCATGCTTCTAATGCAGGTGGTGTGGGTTTGGATCCTGGCTGGGGAACTAAGATCCCACATGCAGTGGGGATGCATAAAGAAAAATTATGTAAGTGGAAACAGACTATGTTTTTTTGTCTGTGTATCTCAATTATTTTGTTTTTAAGAGTTATCCATATTATTGCATGTAGCTGTAATATGTTCATTTTCCTTGCTATAATAGTATCCCATTGTACAAATATGCAAAACCTTATTTTACTACTGACGGATATTTAGGTTGTTTCCAATTTATGGTTATTAAAATAATGCTGCAATGAACTCTCTTGTTCATTTCTCTTGGAACTCATGCCTCTATATCTATAGAGCATGTATTTAGGATTGAAATTTTTGATTATGGGATATGTATATTTTTGACATGCACTTTGATGTTTATTTGGGAGATAAGGCCAAGATATTTTCTAAAATGAAGAATAATGTACACTTGCATCTGTACTGTTTGAAAGATCCCAGTGCTTCACACCCTGGGCAGCACTTGGTATTATCTGCCTTTCTCATTTTATTCATTTTGATGAATATGTGGTAGTATTTCATTGCGGTTTAACCTCCAATTCCCCAATTAACTAGTTATAGATCGTCTTTCTTGAAGTGTCTGTTCAAGTCACTTGCTTATTTTTCTATTGAGTTGATCTTTTCCTTGTTGATTTGAAGGTGTTTTATATATTCTGGATATGAGCCCTTTATAGTTCTATATTACATATCTTTTCTCACTGGGGACTTCTATTTTAATGGTGACTTTGTGAATAGAAGTTAATTTCAACGTAGTCATCAACCTTTTCATTTATAATTAGTGTGTGTTTTTGTTTTGTTTTGTTTAAAATGCTTTGACTACACCAAAGTACTGAGATGCAGAAGTGTTGACATTTACTCAACTGGCAACTTAATCACCTTATGATTTTTTTTTCACAACTTAAACTTATGAAATACATAAATGCCGAGGTACAGAAAATGTTTGTCTTTACAAAAAGAATCTTGAAAAAAGCATTCATCGAAACCACAGGATATTTTAAAATGTGACTTCCCTTTGCATGTTTAATTGTTTTAAAATTCACACTATTTGAGAGAAAGCCTGGGAGAGAACTATGAGAGCAGGAGAAAAAGTCATCCTAGGTGGGGCCTCGCCCACCCTTCTCCCATCCTTCTCCTCCAGGAGAAAGAAAGTGAGCACAAAGGATTTTTAAAGCTGCATAATGCCCAGGTGGTGCTAGTGGTAAAGAATCTGCCTGCAAATGCAGGAGAGGCAGGAGATACGAGTTCAGTCCCCAGGTCAGGAAGATCCCATGGAGGAGGAAATGGCAATCCACTCCAGTCTTCATGCCTGGAGAATTCCATGGACAGAGCAGCCTGGCAGGCTACAGCCCATGGGGTTACAGAGTCAGACACAACTGAAGCGACCTAGCAATGCCTTGTACGTTTCCTTCCTAAGGTTTTGCTAATTGCACAACCATCAGAATCATTACTGTAATCACAACCAGGGTCCTTTTTATGTTTAATACATCTAAATACTTTCTGATTATTTTTCTAGAAACTTGGAGGCCTGGTGTCTACACCGCAGCAGATAGAACTGTGCTCTGAGCCAGAAGCTCCTCCCTCACTGTTCTCTTTTCCCGGCAAACCCTCGCATTTCCCAGAACAGGATGAACAGGAAATGCCAGCTACTCCAGGTGGCTCCGGACTTGAGGAATGCAGTATAGGAGAGGCAGAGTTTGTGAAGTGGTGATAACATTCTCTAAGAAGCAAAGATCTTTCATAAAAGCCACCCTCCCGAAGCCTCTCCAGCTGGTCATGGCTCTTTAAATGAAGCATACCTGATTATTTCTCTATTTCTTTAACCAATAAACTCTGGAGCGCTCATATGTAGGGTTGCTGGAAACATTTAAACAGGAAACCTCCCTTCTGTAAAGGGAATTTATTTGCATAATGCCCTGGAAAGAAAAATCCGATCCTGGATCCCAGAGTGGGAGAAAATATTTTTTAATATATTTTTCCAGTTTTTGGAAAGAATTTTCCTTGAAAAACCATATTATTTTTCTCCTCAAGAGGCACCAGAAGAAAAACAGAAATAGTAAACCAGAAGGGTTGTCACCTTACAATATAATTTTGAGGTTCCCTGAGAGTATCAGATGTGGATTATTATATGATTCAGACACTGTATCATACCAGTGGATTTCATCACTCCTTTTCTGTTTGTTAGTATTTCAGCAATACTCTTTTGAATTAATTCCAACAGATTCCTGTAATTAACAACCAAGCTTTTTGTAAAACGTTAAAGTTGTTTTAGTTTGCACCAATTACAATGTTAACTATCTTGGCCGCCATGGAGAAATCATTTGTTCAGTACATGCCCTCTCCTTTCGGGTTTGTTTTTATAAGCTGCTTGGTTACCATATACTTGGTAAATATATACTTTAGGATTTCTCTGGTGGTCTAATGGTTGGGAATCTGCCTGCCAATGCAGGAGACATGGGTTCTAGTTCTGGTCCAGGAAGATCCCACATGCTGAAGAGCAACGGAGCCCTTGTCCACAACTACTGAGCCTGAACTCCAGGACCTGTGAGCTGAAACTACTGAGCCCACGTGTCCCAGAGCCCATGCTCCGCAACAAGAGAAGCCACAACGAGAAGCCCACACACCTCAACTAGAGAGTAGTCCCTGCTCACCACGGCTAGAGAAAGCCCGTGCACAGCAGTGAAGACCCAGCGCAGCCAAAAATAAATAAATTAATATATATATATATATATATATACACTTTAGAAAAATATTTTAAAATTTGGCATATCTTATTTATTGCCTTTCTTATCAGTTTATTTTTATGCACTCTGCTCTGATTCTCTGCTTGGCTAGATGCATTTCTTATAATAGATTTCCAGGAAAACTTGTGAAAGGCATGAAAGGACGCCCCTACCGTATTTCTATTACTATCCCACTGGGTCAAAGTTAGACTTCTTCAAATAGAAGTGATGGAGAATATTCAAAATGAGGTACACATTCAAATAATATCTGGGATTCCATTTTAGGACAGATTCATGGTTTATTCAACACAGGATTAATCTCGGTTAGGGTAATAGTAAGAGTCCTATTGAGAGTGGGGGGCTGTTATGGCCATACGACCCTGAATGCACTGGATTTCGTCTGATCTCGGAAGCTAAGCAGGGTCGGCCCTGGTTAGTGATTTCGTCTGATCTCGGAAGCTAAGCAGGGTCGGCCCTGGTTAGTGCTTGGATGGGAGAGTGGGGAGGGACTTCGCACTAGTGCTAGGACAAGCTGTGTCCTCACGCAGACAGGTTGTCATACACAACTTGCTATTGCTCCATTTTAATTTTTTCTCAATCACATTTATATAGTTGGCCTGAGCTATTTTTGCAGACTGATGCATTCCATAAATATAGCAAATGCTGCCTTCTTATCTCTCCCATATAACTGTCAACTCATATTTCCACTTATTATTTCAGCTTATTTCTTAACATGTTCTTACAGTGGAAATTTGCTATATGGGCTAATTCTGAAATTTCTTTGCCAAAATACATCATGTATGTGTGTGTGTGTGCGCGCACTCAGTCATTCAGTCATGTCTGACTGTTTGGGAGCCCATGGATCCCAAAGGCTTATTTGCCCATGGAATTTCCCAGGCAAGAATACTGGAGTAGATTGCCATTTCCTACTCCAGGGGATCTTCCTGACCCAGGGATCCAACCCACGTCTCTTGCACCTCCTGCATTGGCAGGTGAATTCTTCACTACTGCATCACCTGGGAAAACCCAAAATATGTCATGCCTAGGTTAAATCTTGAGAAATAAGCCAGGGGTT